TATGAGAGGATGAATCAAACTGTGATAATATTAATTCCTATTTTTTGGAAAAAGGGGCTTTCTTAATACATCTCTCAATATAATTATGTAAAGGGCATGAAGCTTCTCGCAAATTAGATACATTAGTTAGTGGATGTGCAAAAACGAGAATTCCAAAGACTACTGCAAAGCTTGATAACAACATGTATTGCTTTTTTAGAACAACATTTCGGCTGGTCATACCAGCCTTCTTCAGGTTAACAAATGTTACTGAATTAATGATAGGAGTTACAATATTATATAGATGGAGAATGTCCCAAGGAATATTGTTTAAAAGGGAGAGGCGTAAAAGACGTACAACATAAAAAAAAGAAAAGAAAAACATAGAAAAAGAAAAAAGATTTGCACTTACTTCCGTCGATTTACTAAAGTAAAATTTCTTATCATTCATTCCAAATATTTTTCTGTTTATGATCTGCTAAAACTCCCCGCTTAATTCTCCTTAACCAACCAGGTTTGAACAAACTTAGATGACGTTTGCGATATTTGGAAAAAGACATCAATAGTACAGGCTAATGGCCAGAAAAAAAACTAGAAAGAAAATGGGGCGGGAACCGATATGCCCTGGGTACGAGGTAACGTTTGGTAAATCAGTACTGATACTCATACTCAGTTCAAGAATTTGGCAGGAAAAGCAAGAATAGAACCGGAGGGACAACATCTGCTATTTAGAGAATAACTACAGAACTTAACATCCGTTTATCTGAACGTGCCAAGAAAGAGGCAAATCAAGACGTGGACTTTTAAAAAATCCATCTAGGTAAGCAGGTTTTAGCTTATTTTCAAACTGTACAACAAGAATTTTGAGAATTATTATCATTTCAGAATATAAGACAGGCAATTAGTTTAGTTCGAAAAAAGGACAAAAAACGTACTCAGGTTGATTAGAATCCATGTATTAATCTGTGTTTTATCCATTTGGAATGTCAGATTGCAGTCGTAAAACTGGTTAATTTCAACCTCCAAAACACCAAGACGGAGTTTGTAACCTCATTAGAATAGTCTCTGATATTTATACGACACGAATATAGCCGGGCGGGCAGGGCTACGCGTAGCCCTTTGTGCGCCTCGAACGATCGCCCAATAATTTTACGAAGGACAGTTTGTGGTGATGATTTGTTTCGTTGAATTGAATCGCTACCGAAATAATTTAAGACATTTGGCAAAATAGGGTGAAAGAGGGTTGAGGAGGTCGTCTTCGCTTAGGCAAACTTATATACCTTATTATAGGAAATTAACGCTCAATGAAATTAACGCGAATCGTTAAAATTCGCTTTAATTTAAGTCGCGTTCATTTTGTTGAGCGTTAATTTCCGCGACGTTAATTAAGTGCAGCGCTAATTTCTGCCCTCTTCATTTCCAGTATTTTAACCCCAATTTTGGAACCTGTCCAGACATTCCTGACACCTAAAAAACATTACCTACAAGCTTTCTTTCTTTCCATTTACCCTCTTTCACAAAAGCTAAGGCAAAGGTTTACAATATTTCTTAAATTTGTTTCCAGTTGTCACCACCAACTGTGTCTTAATCGCGTTAATTTCCTTTATTATGAAATTCTACCTCCTCTTTCGCGTTAATTTTCTTTATTCGAAAGTCGTTTTCCATTAAATTCGCGTTAATTTAAGTCGCGTTAATTTCCAATACTTTAATTTCAGGGAGCGTTAATTTGATATAATAAGGTATATAACCAGCTGTGCATGGTAACTCGTCAAGAAGAGAAGACACAAGGACTGAGGTTANCCAACTGTGTCTTAATCGCGTTAATTTCCTTTATTATGAAATTCTACCTCCTCTTTCGCGTTAATTTTCTTTATTCGAAAGTCGTTTTCCATTAAATTCGCGTTAATTTAAGTCGCGTTAATTTCCAATACTTTAATTTCAGGGAGCGTTAATTTGATATAATAAGGTATATAACCAGCTGTGCATGGTAACTCGTCAAGAAGAGAAGACACAAGGACTGAGGTTAGCACTCAATTTAAAATTTACTGACTGTAATAGAACAACTTACATGGCTTGGCATAACTCTAACCATGATCCTCTAACTGTCCAAGCTCTGACTTCAAAAGGTATTTCAGTTTTTCTTCTGCCCTTGTTTTACAGGTACTCATCAGTTCCTTTTTATTTTAATGCACTCTCGTTACTACCTAAGTTAAGCCTCTCTCACTAAGAGTCCATGTTTCATTAGCCTCCCACTCAGACGTTCTTCGGGATTCCTCGCGCGTTCCTGCCCAGTTGGGGAGGATTGCGTGGCGAGCCAAAAGAATGTCTGCGTGGGAGGCTAATGAAACGTGGACTCTTAGTGAGAGAGGTTTAACCGTACCCTGTTTGTGGTGGGGCAGTGTCATTAAATTTGAAGAATCACTTGAGTAAGTTATGGAGTTAAACAGACGTGAAGTATACGGAACAAATGATAAGACCTGAGTTCCGCTTTTGTTATGTTTTGGATACCAACACGTTCACCCCTTGGTAAGACAGTCGGTGAGAGAAGTGCTCTTGTGCTTTGATTTCTCTGTTTCGGGTTGTAACAATGCATGAATTTTGTTATCAAATATAGGAATCGGTTACAAGTGACTGATATTGGAAATACGTTAGCGGTAACCGGTAACCGGATTCCATTAAGAAGCTCTTTGTTTCTTAAATGACGTTTAAGCGTTTTCTACGTCCTTGCATTTTGCTAATGAAAATGGTAGCCTGTGGAGCCACGCGTGGAAAACACACCTTCTCTTTCCTCCTCCGTGGGCGCATCCTCGAGATTTCTCCCTTCGCCCTACGCCTCCAGGGCCTAAAATGGTCGCTGGCGCCAAGAACGTCCCGTTCAACTTGCTGATATTAAGCCAAGCATTGTTATCCCGTTTTTTCTTTCTTTCTTTTTTTTTTTTTCGATTCCATCATACAACTTAGAACTTTGACTTTTTTCGTTCCAATCTGAATACGCGTCGTTCTTTGTTAAAAGATCTCAAGGACAACGGTCAAACGGCTTCTGTGGGTGTCCTGTGCAGATTTTGATGTAACGAGAGTCGAATCACGCTATTGTGCTATTGTACATCACCTACTGTGAAGACTAGGTTATAACTCTCTACAAAAGTAATCTTCCTTACAAATGCCTCATTGGATTGGTGGCACTTTAATCGTATCTGCAAGTGAAAAAAAATTATGAAAACACATAAATGATATAATTAATATATTAATTAATTAATGAATTCGGCTTTTGTAGGATATGCAGAATTAAGCAGATCGAGGAGGGTGTCATTACCGAGGCCGAAGGCCGAGGTGGATAACACCCTCCGAGATCTGCTTGATTCTTCATATCCTACAAAAGCCGAATTCATTAATTGCTTTATTGTTCATTCAAAATAATTCCTAGTTTAAAAACATAGCTGAAACATGATTACCTGTATCGATGTTAAGTTCATCTTCGATACTGTATGTTTAGCTTTGTCCAGCTCCCCAAATATTCTCCAAATAGCAGATGTCGCCCTCCGAGTTGTCTTCTTGCTGTTTTTGCCGTGTTTTTAGCTATTATTTCGCCTAGTTCCAGCTGTAGTTGTTACTCTTGAAACGAGTGAAATGTCGGCCTTTTTTTTTTAACCAAAACAACTCAACCTCGTCCCCAGGTCTTCTCGGTAACGGTGCCTTAACCTATAGAGGGCTGCATTTTTGACGTCGTAACTGGTTATGGAGAATTATGCGTGCGCTTTTAGCCAATCAGAATTAAGGAAATATTTTGCATGAATAATAAGGCCTATTAATCGTGAAGTGGAATAATTCACTTTAGTATGTACTAAAACAATGGGTAGTGTTTTTCGCCCGGTCCGATTGGCTAACCAATGAGTGAATATCCTGCACCATTCACTGATTCATCTCCAGTTCCTCCGAGCGAGCGACGCCAAACTCGCGTAAGTTTCGAGCAAAACGCCTTCCCGGTTTGCTGCCGTAACAAACAAAGAAATTTCACAACTAATCAAGCCGACTGTTCCCGAAACACACGAAGAAGGTGACGAAGTTCGGGATGGAAGTTTTAACAGGTAAAGCTTTGTCTTTTTGACTTGAAAAAGCTTAAAACTAAATTTAATAATCTTTTTTACAGAATGATTTTAAATACAAAAAGATTTCACAACTCCTTTTGAGGAAATTTCCCCGCAAGAGCTAAACAAATGCCTTCAACAGTTTTATTTGTCGGCAAGAAAAAGCGACGACCGCGGCCGTTCGGTCTTTGCGCGCAAAAATTGTAATCGTTGCAGGCAACAGTAAATGAGTTAAAAATCATCATTTTTGTGCTCAATTATCTCATTGTTTTAGTATATACTAAAACAATTATTTACCTCAGTGTCGGTGGCTAGTGGGGCGAGGAAAAATACTACCCAACTCGCCAAATATCTGCTCGTACTATATGCTTAAACATCGAATAAGGTGTATGTACAAGTGCATAGTTTCATGAAATAGAGATTTGGAAAAAAGAGAATTATATCATAGTGAGCTCTGAGCTGAGATGAGTATATTAAATGCCAAGTTATTAATTATTATCAAATTTCACGTTCTTCAAGACCTAAGATAAACATTTTAGTAGTCGAGGAACACAATGGAGCGCTAATATACGGTCTGGCCAATTAATGCATCAGTCAATTCCAGCTGCGCCCAGCTTTCTCCTGTCCTTGACAATTAAGCCAATATAGGGAAAAAGGGGGAATTCGGGCTAGGGTAACATATGAACTATGTTGGCTATGAGAACTTCATAAATACTGCCACGATAGCGGATTACTAGAAAGTTTGATGTTACAGCTAGAACAGATTACTATAACCAGGTGTTTCGAATTTGAAGTGGCTACAGTTTTTTAGCTATTACAAGTTAAATGATCATGATAAAAAAAAACTTTTTAGCTTTCTGTATGCAAAGGCAGTACACAAAACCAAAAGATGGTCGAAAGAGGAAATAAATATATTGATGGTCTAAGCTTCGGTGGCAACATACCAGAACAGGTAAGTGATTTGATTGTAGAAATCATTCCTTCGAGTTGGCTTGTGTCCTTTGCCTGAAACACAGGTTTCCCTTCTCCTGCTATTGCTTGCAAAGTGCCCTTGTCTATCTTTTTACCAAAGCCAACGGCTATTACGAATACATCTTTCCTCTAAATCAGAGACATGATAGTCGGATTGAGCAACAACAGTCGGTTAGTTTATAAGTAAGGGCAATATAAACAGTTAAGCTTAATTTTAACGGTGGGAGGGTTGGATCAGTGGGTAGACCATTGAACTGAGTACCACACAACATATCGGTTTCCATCCTCGGAACCGGGCAAATACTGAGGAACTGCATAACAGAAAAATTGCCCTGGAAGTGGCTAGACGTTCCAGACTCCATTTCGAAATCATGCTTTGTAAAAAAAGTGCTTCAATTAGTACTTTAATTCGTGCTTTATACAACTGATGATACATAATACTTGAAAGTAGGTTAATTCAATTAATTACCTTCGTGATATAGCGAAACTTCAAACAAAGCTAACTTACATGTTACTGACACTACACTTTTATTATATTAGCCTTTCGTCTCACTCGTTGAGAGAAAAGGTTAGACTCCTAAGTTACAATGGAACCTCGATATAATGAAGGGCCAAGGGACTGGTAAAAATTTTTCGCTATAAAGAGGTTTCGTTATATCGAGGTTCTTTTCCATACATTTTACTATTACTAGGGTAAAGAAAATCGTTCGTTATACCGAGGACTTCGTTATATAAAGGTTCGTTATATCGAGGTTCCACTGTAGCCTCAAATGTAACATTAGAGGGGCGCTCTAAGCGAAAGAACGAGGGGTACTTACCTTGAAATCCTCAGCTATGTTTTTTGAAAATTCTTCAAAATTTTTATTTTTTGGCAAACCGTAGGGTCTTCCATCAGTCAGGACTAACAGAACGTTGGGTTTGTCTGATCTGTCTCCTCCGGCCACAGTAAACAGCTTGTCCCGCGCCATTTCCAAAGCAAGGTCAGTGCGAGCTCCCCATTTACGTGTTTTGGGTTCCCGACTTATCTTGTTCAAGAGCTGGTTCATATTGTAGTAATCTGAACTTGCAAAGTCAAACACCAAGTTTGCCTGCTTGTTAAACGTGATAAGACCAAAGTGATCCTTATCTGCAGCCGGGTTAAACTTTTTCACCAGCCCCTTTAGGAATTCGATGACTTTTTTAATGTCTTTTTTCTGGATGCTCATAGATTTATCCAGAACGATTCCAATGTCAAGTCCGGCACTGCATGCTGGTTCTGTAAACGGACGTAGCTTGACATTATATTTATTTCACCGAGTATTATGTAAAGAATTATGCAGATCGAGGAGAATGTTATACACCCTGGCAGGTCTGCATAGTTTTTCACATTATACGAAAGCCGAATTCAATAATTGTTGTATTATTCATTCCAAATATTTCTATGTTCTTAACAGCCGCATACCTCCGCGTAGACTTTCTTCAAAATTTTAGTCTGTTTCTTGTCATAGTTTCAGGATATTTAACAATTATTTCTCGAGCCCGAATGGGCTCTGAGTCAATAGCCCATGAGGCCGAAGGCCTCATGGGCTATTGACTCAGAGGCAATGAGAGCGAGAGGAATAATTGTTTTAGTAAAATTCAGCCAGTTGTCAAAAATATCGACACCAAAAAACTTAAAGCAAGACTTTAATCCTTTTTGTCGCCAAAAATCCGGCGCTTTTCGCTATTAGTGGGCTATAACATATAGTCTAGTAGTAGCTCAACCAATCAGAACGCAGCATTGATGATAGACTCGCCACTAGTTGGATTTTACTAAAAACAGATATTTGTTTTATTGCAGATACGTACTTCTCAGAAAGTAGATGACATTACCGTATTATTATCAGCATTATTATTCCCGCAAAATTAATACAACTTAAAAAAGACAAGGCATCATAAAGCGAAATATAATAATTCATGGAGCAATTGTAATTTGGCGTTGTAAATTGGGGGTAAGAGAGATGGCAGTAATTTAAACCCTTCTGATTTTTGACATGTGGACCCAATGCAGCTCATCAATCCTTTCGTTTTCGTTTTCCTTAACAGTTAACTCAAATATCCCCCACTGAAAATGTTATCGCCAGCGACTGGGACGAGGTAGAAAAATACCCAAATGTTGAGTCCTATGCTGCCTTTGCTTTGGACATGCGCTTCATTCTCTCGCTCTATTCTATCCTCTTTCCCGGATTTTTCTTCCTCTTGTTTTTTTTTTTCTGGGCGTTGCAGCTTCAATTTGTTTGAAAGATGATCCAGATGGCCAAAGAAGGAATTACGGGTTGTTGCAAAATAGTCTCGTCCTACTTATTCCCTAAAATAAATGTTTTGGCCGTTACCAGCTAGCCTAGCTCTTAATCAGCACGATCAAAGAACTTACGACATTCTTGTTCATTGCATGGAACTAGCTTCATAACCGTTCCCAGTTCATCGCAGTTCTTTCCACCATTAGTTGGCGGGGGATTGGTACAGGTTCTTTCAAATGTCTTATAACCTGGTCCACATGTTTTACTGCATGCAGAAATCGTCCATTCGGTGTAGCCACCGTCCACAGCTGAAAAGGGCACACAAATTCGTTAGATTTTCTTTCTTAATGAAATGTTGCTCGTTTAAACCAAAGACAGTCATCCAATCCCGAGACGAGGTCTAGGGTTCAGTGCATAACCCCATCTTCGAGAATTTTCCCTGAACGCCGTCATTACCAGCTGAGGTCATAATATCATCTCAAAAACGAATTTAGTTTTGTATCGCAGTTTCTGACCGTCACACAAAAAGAAGCAAAACTCTTTGTAAAGAGCGTTGATTAAAAGAGAAATAATTACTATTTGCTACCGTACGCGTAATATATTTCTTGTTTTGCAGATAAATATCATCGGATTCAATGTTCGTAGATTTGTTTTACGCTCCAGCCGCAGTTACAAATGATTGAACATATAGCGGTAAACTTGTACAATTTTTAACTCGCAAAAGCAAGATTTGCTTTGGCAAGATTTCAATTGCGTGATTAGCGCGAGCACAGCAAAACACTGTCAATCATACCTTTGGGCCACTCATTGTGAGCATAAATTCAGTTATTAAAAAAAAATTAACAAAAAAACTGAACACTTACGACATAAAACTGCTAACACCTCGTCAAAATGTGTGGCCAGGGTTTCAAAATCCGGGAACATATTCACTTGTCCTTTGTTGCCTGCCATCTTTTCCATTTTTTGTCGGACATCTTGATCCTTCCACTTTTTCCCAAATATTCCAACGACAGTGATGCTTACACCTTTCTCCTGGGTAACAAAGAAAACCGTCAAGGTGTAGAATCTGATTACAAGTTTTTGGGAAGAGGAAACGGAAGAGGACAGGGAAAATTAAAAAGATTAGACAACAGCGGTTACGCCACTGCCTCAAATCAAAGTGTCAGGGGAATCTACATTGCAAAATCTTACGCTTTATGAAACTGGATCGAAAATTAGGTTTTCTGTATAGACGCTTTTTGGTGTGCAACTATTTTCCACCAAGAAGCCAGCCCAGGAAAGACGAGAGGCTGACCACATTGGTATCAAATGTACTGCCGTGTTACAAAACAAGTTGGCCGAACGTTGGGACTGCACGTATATATGGGATTCAGAAGGAAAAAGGAGCCGGCACTGGCGATATAATTTCCTTTTATACCCTTGCAGACGTAACTGAAGGGTGATTGTAGAGATTTTTACAGCTGCATAGCTGGTTTCAGAAAAGCTACTTAAGAAGGAAGAGAAAAGCTCTTAGACTCCACAAGCACCTTTTCTTGCTTGAAGCAGAATAATGGCGAAAACATTTTGCAAAACAGCGAATCTCTCATAGCTAGGACACACAAAGGTAACGGTTGGGAAGATTTCTTGTAGTTTAGGCATTCCAATTTTTGAGTTGTCAAAGAGCCCTTTTTGACACAGACTCCTTTTGTTAATTTTTTTCTTTGTAAATAGGTCCTTCTAAAAATTTTTCGAGGCTTTCACTTGCTTAATCCGAAATAATCTCACAAACATTTTCAAAACCGAGACTGGATTCATCGAAAGGCGCGGAAATCAAACTCTCTCAACACTGGAACACCTATAGAAAACTGAGAAACAAGATCAACTGCTTAGTTAAATCTGCCAAGACGAAGTATTACTGTGACTTGTTTCAGGATGCCAAAGGGAATGCGAAAAAGGTTTGGAATGCGGTCAATGAAGTTTGTTCTCGCAACTCTACTTCAGGAAGTGTTCAGTGCATTATTTCTGATGGAATTCAGCACACTACACCTACATCTATTGCTTCAGCAATGAACAGATTTTTGGGTCTATTGGTAAGCGATTGGCTGATAAAATAACAACTACTTGGCCGAGCTGTATTTTGCCGAAGTCGCAGTTACAGTTGGCTGAATTAGAGGAATCGTTTGTGCTTCAGCAGCTCCTCGCTCTGAAGACAAACAAGGCGATCGGCTTGGACAAAATTAGTGCAAGATTGCTCAAAAACTCTGCTCATACGATTGCACTATCTGTTACTAAGTTACTGAATCTATCAATTAAAACTGGTAAATTTCCTATATTGTGGAAATGTTCTAAAATTAGAGCCCTGTTTAAGTCAGGGGACCGGACAAATGCATCAAACTACCAACCTATCTCTATTCTGCCTACACGCAGCAAGATTCTCGAGAAAGCTGTACATACACAGTTATACCAGTTCCTGGTTGCCAATAAACTCCTCTCAGGAAAACAGTTTGGATTCCGGAAGGCTGTACACCATATCTGCTCTGACATCCTTTACCGACAAAGTCCATCTCAATATGGAACAGAGACTATGTGGAGCCGTGTTTTTGGACCTAACAAAATCTTTTGACACGGTGAATCATCAGATCTTATTGTCTAAGCTATCAGCGTATGGTTTGTCTGGAAATTCGCTTTAATGGTTTCGTTCATATTTCACTGACCGAAAACAGCGTACATCTTGTGGCAATGAGACGTCTAACGAGTAGCCAGTAACTCACGGGGTGCCTCGGGGTAGCATATTAGGCCCCTTGTTGTTTTTCATTTATGTCAATGATCTGCCAAGCATTCTGGAATGCCCTCTATGCAGACGACACCGTGATTTACTGTTACGGCTCATCTTCCCAGGAGCTCAGTGAGAAGCTAAATCGCGACTTGTTGGCCGTAGCGAAATAGCTAAACGATCACAAGCTAACTTTGAATCTCGAGAAAACCAAACGTATGCTTGTAGGTAATTATAGGAAACTGGAAAGCAAAACGGCTCTAACAGTATCAATCTTCGACCACAATGTAAATAATGTCAACAGCTTCAAATACCTTGGAATTTTTATATCATCTGATTTTACATGGACAAATCATGTTGAATACATTGCTGGCAAAATTAATCAAAGGCTTGGTCTCCTTAATCCCATTAAGCATTTATTACCATTTAGTGCGCGTCTTCTTTTTTACAATAGTCTTGTCATGCCTTTATTTGATTATGCAGACCTTGTTTGGGGAGACAAGCATAATGTATCCTTAATGACCAGTTTGCAAGTCTTGCAGAATAAGGCTGCTAAAATAATTTTAGACAGACCTCTCTATTCATCTGCTACGCATGCGCTTGCCACTCTTAAGTGGGTTCCATTAGAAAACGGCGTTTTCCGAGAAGAAATATTTATGTGTATAAGTGTTTAAATGGACTCGTTGAGCATGACGTGAACTTCATAAGACAGCAAGAACAACATGATTATAATACCAGAACTAAGCTGAATCTCAGACTTCCAAGTGTCAAGAGGAATTGGGGCAAACAACGGACTGTATTTCATGCCATCAAGGATTTTAACTCGCTTAGCCAGGCAATCAGACAATCCGTGAATCTGAATATTTTTAAACGTAATCTTTTTAAATTTGTAATTTAAATCAATTTCAGTTAATATCTTGTACATTTTACTAGTTTTTACATATTTTAGATTTTTAATGTCGTTGCGAATTGTGTGTATTTTGTATTTTTTTAAATTTTATGAGATCCTTTTTGAAAACCATATTTTATATGAAAAAGTCATCTCAATAAAGGTTATTATTATTAAACCGCGTGCAATATTGAACAAAACAAAGAAACAAGTTTCCCATGACGTCATCCGTGTATCTGTACTCCTATAGATACTGGACAAGGACCAATCACAGCGCGCATAGCATTCACATCATTGTATAATTGCTTTTCGCACAATATTCTGAGGTTTCTTGCTCCACTGTACATCTCTTTTCTCTAAAACCCACCTGACAGTCACCCAACACAGACTCCACAAGTGACAGCAATCGCTTTTGAAGTATCTGCTAAAATATCTCTACATCTTCCGAACAATGAACTTGAGCAACAACGAGCCTTTACTAAAAGAGTGGGCTTTCGACAATGAAAATTAAAATGATCTGTTTCAGCCCCAAAGTCCCAATTCAGCCCTGCAGGCCAAAGTCTGAGGGAAGAAATACGAGCTCCCCTAAAAACGCCTGCATGGGAGGCTACTCCTGGAGCCATTTGAGCACAATGAAAGCCAAAATTAAAAAGCCCAATGAAAAGGATATTCCATTCAATTTCAGTTCTTGGGTCCAAATCAGCGCGGCCAGGTAATTAAACTGTATTGGTCCTGATTTAAGGCAGCCAAATTAGACTAAAAAAATAGTACTGTATTTTACTCACCGAAAAAGTCCCATTTTTAGGGCTAAAACAGATCTCTCTGATTTGCAGTGTAAAACTAATGACTAACAATAAAAAGGAAAACCAAGCTAACGCTACTTACTTCCAGTGTTCTGGTGCTCTTTGAAAAGCTTTTAAAGGGTAACTTTTTTTTGTCCTCTCTTGTTATAAATTGTAGGCCATCAGTAAAGACCAGAAGAACATTTACTGCATCTGGCCTGTCTCCACCATCGCTGGTGAACAGCTTTGTCGCTGCCTTGTGTAAAGCAATATCTGAACGAGTTCCCCACTGTTTCGGACCCGGAACTGAATTGACTTCTTTCTCTATCAGGTTTTTAAGAGCCTGTTGATCGTAGTATGGTTGCGTATCAAAGTCGCTTTGGATTTTTGCGTAACGATTGAACGTAATAAAACCATAATGGTTTCCTTCAGCAGAGACTGGATATTTGTCAATTAACTGGTTAATCAGGTTATTAAGGGTCCTTCTTTGTGTTGGCGTCATGCTTAAGGAAGTGTCAGCCAGGATAGCGATATCCATTTTCCTCGTAGGACAGTAATCTATGGTAAAAAGATAAATGAATAAATAAATAAATAAATAAATAAATAAGTACAATGCAATACAATACAATAATAAATTTATTTAATAAAGAGGTTTAAAAGCCCAAAATATTTCCAAGACGGGAAGGCAAATACCCTGCGAGCAGAAGCTAGATTTTAGAACGCCAGCTTACACGGAAAAAATTTAATGGCCTCTGCTTGTATAGCCCGCGAACAGCAGACGCATTTCCGGTCATCGCTCCTCTCCCTCCGAAAAGGAGGGAGAGAAGCGACGACCGGAAATGCGTCTGCCGTTCGCAGGCTACTGCTTGCAGGGTAGAAGGTGAAATGTCCATTATCAAAGCCTTATTTTCTCTGTACATTAGCCAGTATACATCACAATCTCAGGACGAGTGGCTCGTTTTAGGCTAAGTTTTGTTCCTGCGAAGTTGGGAGAGCCTCTGACCACAACATTTTTAGAAGAATATTGAAAGATTAATGGTGTAATTACCTAAACTGACTCCTTGGAAATTTACCTCTGTATAGTACAGGCTATCGGGGAGAAAATGCTAGCTAATGCAAAAGATTGTCCACACCAGCTACTATATACAATGATCTCAAAAGTGCGAATAGCGTAGCAATAATCAGCACGATCAAAGAACTTACTACATTCTTGTTCATTGCATGGAACTAGCTTCATAGCCGTTCCCAGGTCATCGCAGTTCTTTCCACCGTTAGATGGCGGGGGATTGGTACAGGTTCTTTGAAATGTCTTATAACCTGGTCCACATGTTTTACTGCATGCAGAAATGGTCCATTCGGTGTAGCCACCGTCCACAGCTGAAAAAGACATAAACGCTGGTTAGCTAGATTTTTGTTATTATGAAAGTTTGGTTCGTTTTGTCTTGCGTTTGAACAATGCAACAAAAAATCGCTCTCAGCTGATTACTTTAGTATCACTTATAGATCCTTTGCTAAAGTGTTTACCCTTTTGATCATATTATGTAATGTTTATGAAATCCACAATTTATCCACCTTAAATAACACTAACCAGTCCAATGTCAGTTTGCAGGCTAAGCTATGAATGAACACAGACAAAAGGAAACCCACAGTCAATTTGCCAGCTTGAGATTTTGTAACTCTTGCATTCTCATGTAGATAAATATTTACAGTTAAAATATACCTGAAGTTTTAAAAACGGGATTAAAGCAGCTATCTTACAACCACTTTTGTAAACAAACAAACTTTACCTTCTCAATACCCAATAAAGTATTTTGATTTCGCTGCCCACTATTAATAATCTTTTCTATTATCTACCATTTTGCTATTGTTTTAATATACCAAATTGTGTGTAAGACTTATTTATTTTTTCACTTTTATTTTCGTCCTCAATTTTGCGATGTCCCACGGGTACATCGGACGCGACCCCGTACGGTTTCAGAGTTTGGACGCCATCTTAAACGGGCTCACAGACATTGTCTTTCATTTGGTGATTTCTTCTCAGCTTGGAACGGTATGTGTTTTCTGGTAGCCTGCATTGCAGGCGTTTTCTCGGAGGAGCGAGAGAACGCTGTTTGTCTATGTTCTTGCCATCCTCATCACTGAGGAAGATTTTTAGGAGTCAGAACTATTTGGCGTGAGCAAATTGGTGGTGAGTGGTGAATTTTGACCTGGTCAAAGACTTTTGTTGAAGGCGGACCTTATGTGTTCTCCTCAAACTTTAGTCTATACATCCACGAAATTCGACGGAAAAAATCAATGACTCCGAGGAAACTGAAGTGTAAACCGGTGTTTATCTGAATGAAAGGGGTTTTTTTTTCGAACAATTTAACAAGATGTGAAAGGTTTGAACCCAGGAGTCATTTCAAAAGTAGGTTGGGTTTGATCGTCCGGGTGAACGTAGTCCTGAACAGTATTGTTGTTGTTGACAGTGACTGACGTTTCGACAGCCTGTGCGGTAATCATCTTCAGAGTCAAAGTGAGTTGTATCACGTTACGTGATGGTATTGTACTCCGGTTATCTATCTGATTGGTCAATTACGTCGCGATGTTATTGGTCGTCTGTCAGTTAGGCCGTGATGTCATTAGCTTTGAAGACTCGTAAAGTAATTGGTGCGTTTCGATCCGTCTATTGTCAATAATAATAATATAATAATTAAAAATTTATAACGCGCCTTTTCCATGCAAATATGATCAGAAGCGCGTAACAACACGTAAATGTTAAAAGAAAATAAAAACTAAAATGAGCAAAATAATTAAGGCTAAGAATAAACAACGCTAAAAATTAACTAAAGATAAAAAAAACACTAAATATATTATATAGTAGGTAAAAAAAATTACATATCAAAAGCTAGTCTAAAAAGATGCGTTTTTAGTAAAGATTTAAAACGTTCAAAATTGTCCTCAAGACGGATGTGAAGGGGCAGATTGTTTCATAAATTAGGGGCAGCAGATGAAAAAGCACGATCCCCTAAAGTCTTTTTCAGTTTTAAACTAAGATACTTTAAGATAAGACCGCTAGCTGAACGGAGATTATAGCGCGGCTGTTCTTTGATAGCAATCAAATTGATCAAGTAACCAGGTGCATGACCGTAGATAGCTTTAAAAGTAAAATGAAGTATTTTAAAATCAATACGAAATTTGACAGGAAGCCAATGTAACGCACATAGTACTGGTGTTATGTGACTGTAGCGAGGGACATTAGATATAAGTCGAGCAGCTGCATTCTGCAAGCGTTGCAGTTTAAGTAGATGAGCAGAGAGTAAACCAAATAGAAGGTTGTTGCAGTAATCTATACGACCAATGATAAAAGCATGGACCAAAGTTCGTGCAGACTCCTGGGACAGATATTTTCGGATACGCCGAAAATTGTATAAATGGAAAAACCTAGATTTACAAGTTTTTTGGATCTGTTCCTGGAGATTCAAGTTAGAATCGAACCATGTCCCTAAATTTCTTGCCACAGTGACAGGAACAACGTCAATGCTTCCTACAGTAAGGCAATCAATATTTACTTTGGAAAGTTGTTGTTTTGTACCAATCAACATGAATTCAGTTTTGTCATCATTAAGTTTGAGCTTATCCGTAAGCATCCACGTACGAATGTCCGATATACAGCGTTCCATGGCAATGACCGCATCAGTCTGATTAGTAGCCGTGTCAGGACTACATGACAGGTAAAGCTGAGTGTCATCAGCATACACTGGACGAAAAAACGGATTTACCTCTATAGCAAATTTGGAGCAAATCATCTGCAAATGCCACATTTGCTTAATTTTGCTCAATTTTGCCTCATGTCGTAGGACCAACTTTGCCATAATTTTGCATTAGTGGCAAAGGTGGTAAATGCCGAATTTGCCTCAAATTTGCTCCGTGTGTAAAAACAAGGATAACCTTTATTTTATCAAGGCATTTACAGGGGTGTCAAACTTGATAGCAAAACTGACATTTGTCAGATTTTTGCCCAAATGGGCAAAAGCGATCGAAGATGAATTTTTGAACGCTTTTGCTCTCTATAGCAAACTCGGTCAAAGTAGTAATTTCCCACATTTTTGCTCAATGTAGCAAAAGTGACCAAAACTCAATTTTCAACAGTTTTGCCTAGGATAGTAAAACTGAGCAAAATTTAACCTTATTTTTGTTTCGCCCAGTGTAGTAAATGAGGACAAATTATCACTTCTTCCGTATCTTTGCTCAGTGTGGCAAATATGATCAAAATAGTCGTTTGCCACTGTTTTGCTCAGGGTAGCAAATTTGGCCAAATACCACTTTATTCTCAATTTTGCTCAGGATGGCAGATATGATCAAAACAGTAGTTTCCCATACTTTTCCCCATTGTAGCAAAGTTGATCAAATATCAGTTCTTCTGTATCTTTGCTCAGGATGGCAAATATTGCCATGATAGCAGTTTTCCATACTTGAAGTAAGGTAAACAAAGTTGATTAAAATATCACTTTTTTACACTTTCGCTCAAGATAGCAAATTTGATCAAGACATCATTATCCACATGTTTCTTATTTTTATTTGGTACCATAAATGACTGACAAACAATTTAGACACCAAACAAAATTTCAAGAATAAAATGACTTTATTATCTTTAATATACACTGAACAATAAAAAGTAAGATAAGTTAAAAGAAAGTTCCATTTGCCTCTACAGGGCACTGCATGTACCACAAAATATATGCCTTTAAATAAAAAGCACATACAATGTGAAACTAACTAAGCTCATACATGTATAAGAATGTACATTGGGTTTGAAAGTACAAGTCAACACTAGCTGGTTCATAATTATCTAAGGTTGGTACAGGTAAAACGTAACTCCATTTGAGTGGTATGCTTCAAATATACTCTTTATAGATTTCAATTGATACTATTGGCAAATGGTTGTACGATGACAACACGTACACATCACTCCCAGTATAGATGTGACATCCTTACTAATGGACAGAACATCAACCACAGGAAATAAAATTAGCCTCAAATTATTATGATAAGCGATACTCCTGTAATAATTATTTATAAGAACTTGTTTTCATCTGATAAATATTATCCACTACCCAAAATAGACAGTGAATAATATCTAGTGCTATTCACTGACCCCAAGGGGAGATACATCTGTATGATTCATTTTTAACCAAATCAGTTATAAAAAAATATTTCTTGTAAATAAAATGTGTTACTATTCGAAAGCTCTGTGCATTTCTATGATTTGGGTACAACTTCGATATATTTTTACCCAGCAGTAAACACTTATAAGGTTAATTTTGTCACCTTTTTAGCATGTACATGTATTTTATTTTACAGGTGCTTCATTTACTGCTAAACTTCTAAAACAGGCATGAAATGACACCCCAATTTTACTTTCATCCTATAGGTAGCCAAAAGCTTTTCAAGTTATGAAAGCAAATCTGCTATCCTCTGATTTGGTTAAATACTTGTATTATTATTATTATTATTATTAAATCACTGTAAATAATATGATTTGGTGAAATTCTTGTATTATTATATGACCATAAATAATTTATTACATTTATTTTTTTTTAACTAAAATCAAATTATTTGCTAAAAATTTGAGCAATTTTTTTCTGATTCACATGATCAGCTGTTTTGCTTGCAGTATTGGACTGATTAAATATCCAAATTATCCAAACACAATCTATACACTATGAAAGCTCTGTAGAACTTCTTTAATTCATCATTGCCATTATTATTATTGGCATGCAGGTGATTAATATTTCAGCCATGCTTATCAAAAAACTGTTATAACACACGGTATTTTTTTGTTGTTGCATAAAACATAACTGCACTCTTTTTTCATAAAATATGCCAAGAACAAAATAGGATCACGGCATTTGGAGTCCAGTAATTACTCTACCATGGCATGTATTGGCTAGATTTAGTCCTCGGAGTGGCACTTTTTAAGGCAGTGCTTAGGGTAGCCCTAGGATCTGTCACCACTGCGGAAAGTGGATGCAGATGTATCTCCAATTACATATGTTGGGTGAATGGACATGACGACTGAAAATACAGCTGCATTTACAGGCTACTAGAAGGAAGGTTTTTAAAATTCAATAAAGTTGCCTAGTTACAGAGTGATTTGGTGCCAACTAACAAAGACAGCTCTGCAAACATGGCAAATTTTGCTGACATTTGTCTGGTAAGGGCAAGTTTGTGGCTCCACAGTACCATACAAAGGCCATTGAGATTATGTGACTTTGTGTCAACACTTCATTTCAAATCGGACTAATCACAAACAGCGTAAGAACCTAGCCAATCACAAAACGCTGACATACATGCATGTCTTTGTGACTTTGTGGGATTCAAACATGATATTGTGCACTAATTCTCAGA